GAGTAAGGCTGGGTTTACTCAGATGTTGCAGCGCTTTCCCGGTCCTATTTTGAGAGCCTTTCAGCCTAAACGGACTATTCCTACAGGTGCACGGTAATGTACCAAACAGTGTTTCTTTGCTATTCATAAGGTTTTCCCTGGCCAATTATTTCAGAAGTGGATGGCCTCTTCCTTCTTCCTACTTCCTAGTCTGTCTCAGTCTACAAGCTGGGCTGTTACCTATACACCAGGTGCACTCGCTGGGTTTTAAACACCAGAGGCTCAGCCTCAAAACTCATAGTTATCCTTAGAGAGGGCTATATTTATTTGGGTTAAAGATAATTTTTACTAACATTACAACTTTTAAAATCTAGTTCTAGAAGTCATTAGTTTCAACTAACAAAACTTGCTGTTCTCTCTAAAAATCTAGACATATACAAATCCAAATGTGACTTGGTTATTTGCCGGTATGCCTAATAGATCTTTGAATCCACCATGCATAACACCAAAAAACCAAACCCAGTGCTGTTGAGTTGATTTTGGCTCATAGCGACCCTTATTGGGCTTCCAAGGTTATAAATCTTTATGGAAGTACAATGTTTCATCTTCCTCTCCCAGAGCAGCTGGTGGGTTTGAACCCTTGACCTTCTGGTTAGCAGCCAAATGCCTTCCCCACTCCATTACCAGAGCTCCTTGTGCATAGCACAGTGCCTGGAAACACACACAGATATACGTAAACAAACAAACAATGTTTGTTGGATGAACAAATATTCAAAGTTAGTTCCCTTTTCTCCGTATAGTCTCTTCAACTTGCTCTAAGGTAAAATTAAAGAAGGCTATCATGCTTGGTAAAATGGAGAGTCAATGAAAAAGGGGAAGGCCCTCAAAAGATGGATTGGCACAGTGGTTTCAACAACGGGCTCAGGTATAGCATGGATCGTGGGGCTGGCAGAGGACTGGGTAGTGTTTCGTTCTGCTGTACACACGGTCGCTATGAGTCCGAGACGACTCTACGGCACCTAACAATAACAACAACATCTTAATGCTTAGGTGTTACCACTGATTATAAACTATAAGGTTTCCTTTCTATGCATTTAGGTTCCTAATCCATTCAGATTTATATATTATGGACTATGACTCCTGCTATGGAAAACGAGGGTAAGAGTAAATTCAGGTAGAATCTCCCAACATGTCTACAAATTATACTTTATTGTGATACACTGTCAAGGAGGGGCTAACCCTTACTTAGAATTAATCACATTTTCCTGCTTAAAAGGGAAGTTTTTTGGTAGCATAGTGGCTAAGGCACTTGACTGCCAACCAGAAGGCTGGCGGTTCAAACCCACCAGCCACTCCTCAGAAGGAAGATGGAGCAATCTACTTCCGTAGTGATACTGCCTCAGAAACCCAAGGAGGGGTCGCTATGAGTCGGGTCGGACTCGACGGCACATAACAACAACAACAAGATTTCTAAATCTTCCAGATGATGAAGATTGTTCTCTTTGAAACTCCAAGTACACGAGTCAAGCTCGAAAGATTTTTTGTTCTTCACTTTTTGGGTGGAAAAGGGTTTTCTGAGAAATACTGAGCTTTCCTTTGGCAGTTCTGTCCAGTCGATTCCAACTCATGGCAACCCCATGTGTGTTAGAGTAGAACTGTGCCCCACAGGGCTTTCAGTGGCTGAGTTTTTTGGAAGTAGATCACCAAGTTTTTCTTCTGAGGTACCCCTGGATGGACTCCAACTTCCAACCTTTCAGTTAGCAGTGTGTGCGCACCATCCAGAGACTTAGGTCAAGGGGAACAAGTCAAACTTTAAAATGGATACTCTCAAAACTCAAAAACAATTTATTAGAAAAGCGTGGACATCTTTTGTTTGATGACATTATCAATTTAAGATATTGAAATGGTGATTGAAATGATTCTTGCAGTTTTCTTTAAAGGATTTCATCAAAGAAAACATTATTGGAGGGATTGGGATAAATGGAAAAGACTGAAAAATGCTGATTTCTGAAATTCTGTAAGTTTTCAATTTTTGAAATTTTCCACAATCATAAAAATTCTATTAGCTTTTTCCATTTTTTTTACGCTAAGAATTCCTGTTATTTTTGCAAAGTTCTGCATGTCAATTTGTGAATACATTGTCTCATTATTTTTGCTGTATACATTGTCAGCATATCACCAAAAATCAAACTCACTGCCATCCAGTCAGTCCCGATTCAAAGCGACCCCTCCTTGGGTGTTCAAGGCGGTATCTCTAGGGAAGCAGATTGCCCAATCTTCCTTACGCGGAGTAAGGAGTAGCTGGGGGGTTTGAACCGCCAGCATTCTGGCTAGCAGTCAAATGCGTTAGGCGCCATGCCATCAGAGCTCCCATCAGCATATAGTACCCATACATTTCATTTTAAAACAAAGAAAGTTGGCTTTCAGCACACTTCTTAAGCGTACCAAAACCAAACAAACATAAAATCACCCTGGGACCCTACAGCACAGAACTGCACCATAGAGTTTTTAAGGCTGTAAATCTTTACAGCAGATAGCCACATCTTTCTTTTGCAGAGCGGCAGGTGGGTTCAAAGCAGCGACCTTTTCGTTGGCAGCCAAGCGCTTTATCTATTGAGCCACTAGGGCTCCCCCTTCTCAGGCTTAGGGGTACTAAATCTCTTCTGATATTACCCCAACTTATTGTTTTAATCAGGGTCTCAAAACTTTCCAGAAACTGCCCTTTTGCCTCTCATGTCACGCGTTTCGAGGGGTATTGCAGGGCGTCCGTGGCTAGGTATTCCAACTCACGGATATACCCAGAGTACGAAGGCCCTCGTCTCGTTCTGACCTTACTTCTAGAGCTGGTTTCTATCAAGTGAAAGAACACCACAGCGGTCTTGCCTGAGACCGGCGACCCCGCCCCGAGGGCGGAGACCGGGCGGAGCGGCGCCTCTCCTCCGACTCCTCCCAACTCACCGCTGCCCCCGGAGCTGGCGGCGCATGTGCCCAGCGCCCCCTCCCCGACCCTGGATTCCGCTTCCTGTCCGCTTGCGCTGCAGCCGCAGCCGCCTGCAAGCACCGCGCCGCCTCCGGAGTCCATGGCCGGGACGCGCTGGGTGCTCGGGGCGCTGCTCCGGGGCTGCGGCTGTAACTGCAGCAGCTGCCGGCGCACCGGCGCCGCCTGCCTGCCCTTCTACTCGGCCGCAGGCTCCTTCCCCTCTGGCGTCTCGGGCCGCCGCCGCCTGCTTCTGCTGCTTGGGGCCGCCGCGGCCGCCGCCTCCCAGACGCGGGGCCTCAATAGTGGGCCTGCTCCCGCCGGGAGGCTGGCGGGGCCTTCTCCCGCGGCTGCTTCTGCCGCTGCTGCGGCTGCCGCCTCTTACCCAGCCCTGCGCGCTCCTTTGCTGCAGCAGTCGCTGGCGGCGGCCGCGGGCCCGGCCCGGAGCTACAGCCAGGTACGTGGGCGCCACGCAAGGTCGCGCGCGGGACCCTTCCCCGCCGCGCGCACGCGCTCCTCCGTTTGCGCCCCACGGGCGCGCCCAGGGATGCGCGGCGCGGGCCGCACACCCGCCTCCCCTCCCGCCCTGGCCTCCTGTTGGGTCCCAGAACAAGGGACTCTCTCCCAGGCCTTGGGTTTTCTCCTTGTTTTGTTCTCATATCGAGTCTGTGGTCGGTTGGGCAGTGTAAGTGTGTTTAGGGGTGAATGTTGAGGCCTTATTTCCCTCCAGGCCCATGGTAGGTCGTGTGAGGCTGTTGACGCCCCTACCCCGCATTCTTCTCGCTTCCCTCCAGGTGGTTGTGAAGTTGGGAGGCCGGACCCTGCGGAGGATTGGGAGTTTCGGAGCAGCCAGAGCAGTAGGCCTGGCCTCCTCGGCGCGCCTTACATTTCGCGGCGGCGAAGGTTCACGCACATAGTGCGTGGGCAGTGTTCGTGGGGAAGGAATTTTGTCCCCAGCACGCCCCACTTCCCTGTGTCCCCAGGGAAAGGCCGGCTGCCCCAGTTTACTGAAGGTCACCTCTGCACCACCACTTCCTCTGACAGGATCGTGAATCGCCGTCGACGGGGAGAGCAGTTTGGATACTGATATGCGGGACAGGGGAATGGGCGAATGAAGGGGGCGTCTAGACACAATTTGGGGACTTGGGAATGATCTACAGTTTTGTTTGTTTATTTTAAAGTCACTCGGTGGGTACTTGAAGAACTCACATTGCAAATATTTTTTGCCTTTCTCTTCCTCTGTTTACGTGGCATCTGGGAAGTATCTCCACATTTTTTGATTTCCCAGCCCCTAAAGCCTTGGATCGTATTTATGTTAATGCAATTTGTGCTTCTCCTTGAATTTAAGGAAACTGGGAAGCTAATCACCATGGCTACTGTCTGCCAGTGGCTGAGCTAACTGATTTGAATCTTGGCCAATACTTTTTTCTGCCCTTTTCTGTAGAATCTTGTGATGCTTATGGAATTCTGGGAAAATGGAGAAAAGTAGCTATTTTAAAAAAGGAAAATATTTTCAACTATCTAATAAGCTTTTGTGATCTGGCTTATCTCTTTACTTGATTATTTTTTTCTGTGAAATTTGCTATAATGGTGTCATTTGTTAAAAATTTACTACATGTTGTTGTTGTTATGTGCCGTCAAGTCAGACCTGACTCATAGCAACCCCTCCTTGGGTTTCCGAGGGAGTGTCACTACCGAAGTAGATTGCCCAACCTTCCTTCCGAGGAGTGGCTGGTGGGTTTGAACCACCAGCCTTCTGGTTAACAGTCAAGTGCCTCAGGCACTACGCTACCAGAGCTCCTTACTACATGTTAGTGCTACAGATTGGTGCTTACTGACTACTTAAAATTACATTCATGAAAATGATGGAAGGATACAAAGGAATGTATCATTTCTCTGCTCAAAAGAGTGCAAGTTGTCTTCCCAGGTGATAGTGAATTCTTCAGGTATGGCTATTAAGACCATTTATGATCGTTCTCTTATTCAGGTTGTCTGATATACCAGTTGATAGATTAATCTTTCCAAGACATCTTGCTGCCTTATTGACTTACCTACTCCACTCTCCTTTGCTTCCCAAGTTAAGGACACACATTTGGCTTAACACTGAAGTCCCTCAGTTATATGGAATCAAGTTCTTTTTGCCAGCTCATCTTCTTTGGCTTCTAATTGTACCCTACAATTTAACCAACTGGGATTAATTGCTGTTTGTCCAATGGGCCTTTGTATAGTGCTTCTTCCCCCTCATCTCTCTCAAACTCCAATGCCCTATCCTTTATATACCCTTATCAGAATTCTGTCCTTCCTTCAGGCCCATCTCATGTCCAAATTCTTCTTCTGTTAATGCTCTACTTTAAATTTTATGGTACTTCATATTTTCATTATAACACTGAAAGCAGTTTTGTATGATTCCTATCTTATTCTAGACTGTAAACTCTGAGATTAGGGCCTGATATAGTGTACTGTCTATATAAGTTACTCAAGTATTTGTTAGACTGAAGGGACGCCTTCTTGTTTTGTCTTAACTAATACATTATTAAGTGTAATGTGGGGTGGATATCATGCTTGGTAAAGGATATCATGCTTGTTAAGTGGAGGGTCAACGAAGAAGGGGAAGGCCCTCAATAAGATGGATAGACAGTGGCTACAGTGATGGGCCCAGGTATAGCAAAGATCGTGAGGCTGGCACTGGGCCAAGCAGTGTTCTGTTCTGCTGTGCATAGGGGTCGCTATGAGTCAGAGATGACTCATTGGCACCTAACAACAACAACAACGGGGGCTGAAGAAGTCAAGCCTTGTGTAAAATTTATGTCCTGCCAAATACCTGCTTGCTGATTTAGGATGAGCCATCTAGGCCAAAACAGGATGAGTTAGATTTGTGAAGTTTACTTCTTGCCCCTGAAATAATAGTTTGAATGCACCCAGTGGCACTGTGGAAGAAAGGCCTGGTGATTTACAGCCAAGAAAACCTTATGTAGCAGTTATATTCTGTAACACTGGGTCACCATGGGTCAGAATCTATCTACTTGATGGCATTGTTTTTTTTTTTTTTTTTTTTTTAAAGAATAACATCTAGAGCATTAGTTTAGAAAATAAACATTCTTTAGGTTGTCAGAGAAGTACTTTTATATTTTTTCACTTATTTTGGAAGGAGTCCAAAACCACCTACCTGGAAGACCTTCCACCACTTCCTGAGTATGAGCTGGCTCCTTCCAAGTTAGGAGAGGAAGTGGATGATGTTTTTCTCATTCGAGCTCAAGGATTGCCTTGGTCATGCACTGTGGAAGATGTCCTTAACTTTTTCTCAGGTATACTTTATGTTTGCTTTAAATACCCTAAAATTTTGTCTTCTAATTATATCTGAGTAAAAGGCAGCAATCTCCCCAAATCCAAGTCAGGCTATGGTGTAGGTATCCTATTTGATTTTTGGTAATTATCTCATTTTGGATAGTTATATATTCACACCAAGTGACACCGTGTAGTACCATTTGTGTTATACCAGATTTAAAGACTGAATGCAACAGAAGTATTTAATATTAAAATTATGTAGTATGAAATTAATTTTCTTTGATGTTTTAATATATACATATGAAAAAGCTTAACCTCTTAGTGGAAACATGGGGTTAAGGTTCTTTATGTAATAAGTATATTTAGAATACAAAATCATTCGGTATCAAGTAATAAGTTTACCTCAATAGCATATTTGGTAGGTTTACTATAATCTGTGGTTGGTTTTATGTAAAAAAAAAAAAAAAAAAAAAAAAGACAGACATTTTGGTTCATGCTTTGTTTTCCAGTTGAAAAATTGCATTCTTAGGGACTTGTATAATTGAATTAAAAGTTTGTTTCTGCTCTTACTTGATGTTACTGATATATTTAGACTGCAGAATCCGCAATGGTGAGAATGGAATACATTTCCTCTTAAATAGAGATGGGAAACGAAGAGGTGATGCCTTAATTGAAATGGAATCAGAGCAGGATGTTCAGAAAGCCTTAGAAAAGCACCGCATGTACATGGGTCAACGGTATGTAGAAGGTATGTGAAGCTAGAGTCAGGCTTTTGGGGATCATAGCATTAGTGCTTTATACTTTTCAAAGACGTTTTCATTTGATCACTAACAACAGTGAAGTAGTAGATTTTAGGAGTACAGCTTGTGAAAATGAAGCATGGGGAGATACTATCAGCTTCTTATCTATAAAATAAGCATGTTGACCAAGCTTCTCTTGCAGATAGTAAGAATTAAATGAGTTATGCTAGTCACATAATGGTCTATATATGTCATTTGTTATTTTCTCCAAAGAAGTACATAAAAATTTAAAATACTAGTTTTTTTAATTCTTTGGTAGCCTATCAAGTGGTGATACATATATATGTATGATTTTTTCCTTTTATTAAGGTCTTTCTTTGATAGGGCTTTTGTGTACCTTTTGTTCTTTTTCATTGTAGTATATGAAATAAACAACGAAGATGTGGATGCCTTAATGAAGAGCCTGCAGGTTAAATCTTCACCTGTGGTAAATGATGGTGTGGTTCGTTTGAGAGGACTTCCTTACAGTTGCAATGAGAAGGACATTGTAGACTTCTTTGCAGGTACATGTTTTAAAAAAAACACCTCACTGCCATAGAGTTGATTGCAACTCATAGCGACCCCTCCTTTGGTTTCTGAGGTGGTATCCCTATGGAAATAGATTGCCCAGTCTTCCTTCCAAGGAGTGGCTCGTGGGTTTGAACCTCCAGCCTTCCGGTTAGCAAAATGCCTTAGGCGCTATGCCACCTGAGGTCCCTGTACATGTTTGGGACCTCATATTCTCTCCTTTTCACCATCATCTTCTTTTTTCTATACCTTATATGAACCTTTTCTAATTTAACAGCATATAATTATATTAGTTTCTTTAGGGGAGAGCTCTTGATCCAGATTTCCAAGATTATAGATTATCTAAAAGTTTGGATCTGTTGGGCAGATCTTTGGAGGAGGTCAGATTTCAGAACTATTTCATATTGTTTTTCCCACTATTAAAGAAATTATTTGCTCATAATAGTGATCATATTTATCTACAACAGTAACAGTTTATATGATATAAAAGAATTATTTGTCCCATTGCTAGATGTAAAATACACACCATTAATTGTGGTCTTAGTTTAAATCTCACTTGTCTCCTGATACATAATTAATAACAAAAAAAGAAAAGGTGAGAATTGTCTGTTTTAGATGGGTTTCTTAGACCCTAAACATTACATGCATTGTGGAAATACAGGTATGTAGTATTTTGACTGTATAAAAATTTTCTTTTCGGTAGGCATGTATCCAACTTTGGGATAGGCAAAGCAGCATAACATTTTTTTACTGAGGGTGAAAAAACTGTTGGCAACACTCATTTGTAATAACTTTTTGGTATCCTAGGGCTGAATATAGTAGACATTACTTTTGTCATGGACTACAGAGGGAGAAGAAAAACAGGTGAAGCCTATGTGCAGTTTGAAGAACCAGAGATGGCCAACCAAGCGCTGTTGAAACACAGAGAAGAAATTGGTAACCGGTAAGTGAAGTCGATATTAATGATGTAGAAGTGTCACACATCAATCAGGTTGTTTTGATGAATATATTGTAATATGACTGGGAAAGTTTCCAAACACAGGATAGTATGAGGAGCCTATCACTTAGATGAGCAAATTATTAACCTTTTAATTTTCTTAATCTGTTTTCAGTGTACATCTTTAAAAAAGTAATGTATGGTAACGTAATCACTGTATTACTCATTATCACATGACAGAATTTGCAATAATTTATTAATATCTTAGGCCAGTCCATAATCATATTTTGCCAATTATTCCAGAAATGTCTTTTTACAGTTGGTTTGTTTGAACCAGAATCCAAGTAAGGTCGGAACATTGCTTTTGATTGTTATATCTCTGATTCTCTTAAATTAGAGCAGGCCTCCTTTGCCTTTGCAATATTTTTATTTCTTCCTTAAAAAAAAAACATTGACTTTTGAAGAAATCTGGTCAGTTGTCTTTAACAGTGTCTCATTTCTGTCTTTGTTTTATTGCTTCTTCGTTGTGTCACTTGACTTGTTCCATTACCTTTTTTTAATTTCCTGGAAACTAGAACTTAGAGCTAAAGTTTTGAATTGGTTCAGGTTAATACTGTGATAAGGATACACCGTAGATGATGAGTGATACTGAATTTCAGGGCTTTGAACCAGTTCAGACTGGTTTGTCATGGCTAGTGAAGTGAAATCATGAAATCAGAACAGACCCATTTTTCCCCTGCTGCCAAGCTTCAAGCATACTTTATTGCTTTCTCTGGATTGGCTGTATCAGTGGATCCAGACCCAAATTTTTTAAATGACAACGAGAACAGAAAAAGTGATAGATGGAAGCCCTGGGATGGGAGACTCAGAAGAAGCGAAGGGAGCTCTGTAAGGAGCCTGATGTGGGAGATTAGATTATTGCTAGGACTGTGGAAAGCAGTACACATGCAGAGTGGCGTGGTGCGCTGCCATGTTTGCCTGTCAGAGGATGGTTCCTGTGTAACATGCATGCTGCCCTTGTTTTCTAAGGAGATTAAGTTTCTAGCAGGATGTCGACCAGTAATTTTTCCCATTCTAGTTACTGTCCCATTTCACCCACATTTTACAAATTTAGAATCGTTCTGTTTCACTTTGTCGGATATGACTGAACCAGGAAGAACCAATTTGAAGCCCTTATCACATTACATCAGGATGCATGTAATGATGGATGGCTCATTTTAACTTTGACTTTGGAGGTTTAGTTAAAATAGTGTTAAGTTTTAAATCACTGTTTACCGCTTATTATCCTTTTTTCAGCTCCTTTAAAAAATGATTCCACTTTGGAAACCAGTGTATTTCTGGATCTGTTTGTAAAACTAGTTAAGACATTTCATTGCATTTTATTAGATGAAGACAGTATATGCAAAGCACTCTCCCTTCCTCACAATTTTCTTCTGGCACTCTTCATATCTTCTTATATTTTGGAACATGTCAGTGTTCTGTTTTTATGTGATAACATTAAGGCAGTGTACAAATACCTTCTTTAATAAATTAAGACATGGCTCCAATGTAATCTTCATAGGTCTGAGAAGAAATTACTTTACAGCTTAAATTTAATAACCTGATTCAGAAAAGCAGTGGTTAGAAACTGATTTCAGAAACTTGGATTTAATAAGCAGTCCCATTGCCACTATGATAGTAAGTCAGAATTGCTATTTAATTCTTGAATTCTCAGCACTTAGTGAAGTTTTGCGAGTTAGCTCTACAAATACTGTGACCTAGACATCTTTTACAAGTATGATTAATTTCCACAGAATTGAACTATAAGGCTTCAAGAAATTGTTGACCAACTATAAAAAGAAAAACTCCTTACTATCACATTAATTCTGTTCTATACACAATTTAACCTTAGCATAGTTTTCTTTATGAAGACAAACAGGATAGAGAATATTGTTAAATGTATATGAAGAGAAATATTATCTTGGAGGGGCGGGGATTAAATCAGTGACTAGTGAGAATACTTACAAAACGAATAAACCAAACTCACTGCTGTCAAGTTGGATCCAACTCATAGTGACCCCTCCTTGCATTTCCAAGATGGTATTACTACGGAAGTAGATTGCCCATTCTTCTTTCCAAGGAGTGGGTGGTGGGTTTGAACTGCCAGCCTCTGGTTAGCAGTCAAATGCCTTGGGTGCTATGCCACCAGAGCTTCTGAGAATACCTATAGCCTAATACTTCTATCTATTCTTAACTTTTCCCCTCATCTGTTATCTTTGGTCACCAGTGTTTCATAAGCTGTTGACATTATAACATATACATGTTTGTTTTAAATGGGTTCAGAGTTACTTTTTATCATTTATGCCTGTTCACTTTTACTTTGATGTAGATACATAGAGATATTTCCAAGCAGAAGAAATGAAGTTCGAACACATGTTGGTTCTCATAAGGGAAAGAAAATGGCATCTTCTCCTACTGCTAAGTATATAACTGAGCCAGAAATGGTCTTTGAAGAGCATGAAATAAATGAGGATATTCGACCCATGACAGCTTTTGACAGTGAGAAGGAAGTAGGTAAGGACGTGCATCATCTTGGAGTTTGTTCGGGCTGTCTTGTAGGCTTCAATTTTTGTTACAGTAATACTTTTATGATCATCTTGTATGAAATTGTAACATTATAGGGAAAGGGAATTGAGTTGCAGAGAAAGATTTACTCTGCCTTTGAGTGTAGCATGGCAGTCCCTGGATGGTGCAAATGGTTAAGTACTTGGCTAGTAATTGAAAAGTTGGCAGCTTGAACAGCCCACCCCTAGACATCTTGGAAGAAAGGCCTGGTAATGTGTTTCTGAAAGGTCACAGCTTTGAAAACCCAAAGAAGTGTGGTTTTCCTTGGCACACGGGATCACCATGAGTCTGAATTGACTCTGTGGCAACTAGTTTTTTTTTTTTTTTTTTAATGCATTTTATTGAAGTATAATTTATGTACAGTGAGAAATACAAAACTAAAATGACATGGGTCAATGCATTTTTTTTTTCAGTGTTCCCTCCCCTCCCACCCCTAGCAACTAACAACCAACAAAGAAAGATTCCCTCCATATATAAACCTTGACCCTCCACAACAATGAATAATGGTCCTTCTGTGATTGACTTATTTCACTCAGCATAATGTCCTCCAAGTTCATCCATATTATGTGGTGTTTTGCAGACTCTACATTATTATTCAGTGCTGCATAGCATTCCAGTATGTGTATGTACCATAGTTTGGTCATGCACTCTTCTGCTGATGGGCACGTAGGTTGTTTCCATCTTTCTGCTATTGTAAATAGTGCTGTGAATGAACAACATGAGCATGCATTTTTTCTTTTTAAAGTATGGTATGGTCTTTGAAAATATTCAGAAGGACTTAATTATTTTGTTAGACTTCTTAATCATAGTTGTAGATTCTTTGTCAAAAGTTGGAAGGTACAGATACAATGAAAGGAAGTAAAGTTTAAGCTAGGGAAAGATTTACATAGAGAACAAGAATATTTATGGACTGAAGTAAGGATTTTTGTTTGCCTCTGGATTCAAATAGTGTTTTGATTCCTGACCCCAGAACAACATTTAGAATCTTTAGAGATTGATAAATCCATTTTTAACTGGTGTCCTGGGATTATCTTGTGAGCATATTGTTTTCTTAGTACCTATGCCAGAAAGTTTCTCTTCCTTTTATGGTTTCATTCATAATCACTTACCATCTCTCTGCTGTTACAAAGGAGCTCTGGTGGTGCTGTGGTTAAAGCATTTGGTTGCTAACCACAAGGTAAGAGATTTGAATCCACCATTCACTCCATGAGAGAAGGATGGGGGAGGCAGTCTGCTTATGTAAAAACTTAGAGCCTTGGAAACATCTATGAGGTAGTTCTGCTCTGTCTTGTATGGTTGCAGTGAGTTAGAATCGACTCCATGGCAGTGAATGTGTGTGCTGCTGTTAAAAAAAATTGTTCTTAATTTGGTTTGAGGCACTAAATTGTTCTGGGTGTTCAGGTGATACTTGTTGTTGTTGTTGTTGTTTGCCGTCGAGTCGCCCCTGACTCATAGCGACCCCTCCTTGGGTTTCCGAGGCAGTATCACTACGGAAGTAGGATTGCCCAACCTTCCTTCCGAGGAGTGGCTGGTGGGTTTGAACCTCCAGCCTTCTGGTTAGCAGTCAAGTGCCTTAGGCACTATGCTACCAGAGCTCCTGTGATACTTGTTAGATGGTGGATATTTCAGATCATTTTGGCTTCCCTATTTGTTTAAGAAGTTGAAGTTGTTAAAGATTTCTTATTACTTGATTCCACAATCAACACTAATGGAAGGAGCAGTCAGGAATTCAGATGACATACTGCACTGGGCAGATCTGCAAAAGACCTCTTTAAAGTGCTGAAGAGTAAATATGTCTCTTGGAAGACTAAGGTACACCTAACCCAAGCCAGGGTGTTTTTAATTGCCTTGTATTCATATGAAAGCTGAACACTGAATGAAGAAGACCCAAGAAGAGTTGATGCTTTTGAGTTGTGGTGTTGGCAAACAATACTGAAAGTAACATGGACTGCTAAAAGAACAAACAAATCTGCCCTGGAAGAAATGCAGCTGGAATGCTCCTTGAAAGCGAGAATGGGCAGACTTCTCACCTACTTTGGTCATGTTGTCAGAAGGGACCATTCCTTGGAGAACGATATCATGCTTGGTAAAGTGGAGGGTCAGCGAAAAAGGGGAAGGCCTTCATCAAAATGGATTGACACAATGGCTGCAACAACGGGCTGGGGTATAGTAGGTATTGTGAGGCTGGTGCAGGACCAGGAGTGTGTCATTCTGTTGTACACAGGGTTGCTGTGAGTTGGAGCCAACTCTACGGCACCTAACAACAACAACATTTGTTCAAGAAAAGAGCTCTGGTGGTGTAGGATTAAGACATTTGATTGTTAACCCTAAAGGTTGGTGGTTGGAACCCATCAGATGCTCTGCAGAAGAAAGTCTTCCCTAACGATTTACAGCCTTGGAAACCCAATGGGGGTAGTTATGAGTTGGAATTGACCCAATAGCTGTGAGGTTGGTTTTGTTTTTTGTGTTTTTTTTAATTGGTTCAAGAAACATTGAGGATTTTGGCATAAAGGCCATACCTAATTATAAGCTGTTAATAACCTTTGGAGTGCTAATGTTTTTGACACTGCTTTTTGTTTGTTCTGCCTTTCAGAATTGCCTAAGGAGATGTCAGAGAAGATAACAGAGGCCGTTGATTTTGGAACTACGCCTTCACTGCATTTTGTTCACATGAGAGGATTGCCTTTCCAAGCTAATGCCCAAGACATTATAAATGTGTGTAACAGTAAGATACTACCCGATTTCGGTAGATTCAGCAAAGTTTCAGACTGGCACCTCTATTAATTTGGGGAAGATAGAGGAGAAAATACAGTGTTTCTGGAGCATCTAAATATAAATAGTAAGGTGGCATCTGCTTTGTTCTAGAGGTTTGCTTCCTTTTTCTGTAGCTGAGAAATGTGGATTTTTGTTACATTTTAAGTCAAGAAAGTGTACGATTTTTAGCTACCAAATAATATGGTGTAAGTTTAGTATTTAAGGAAGTTTTCTTTTAGAATAATTTGGCACAACCTGTTCATTTTTTAATTTGAGATACTGGGTCTCAGAGGCACTTGGCAACAGAGCAGTCATACCCTAAACAGGAATCCATTTCTCCTAAATGCCAGGTCTAGAGCTTTCATTAGACTGAGTATCACATTTCCTTAATTTTGGAGAAAAGGAATTTTAAATATATTTTTATTTTATAATAGATATTGTATCAAATGAAAAGAGAACAACAAAGTCCTTAATTGACTGTGAACTTGAGAGCATATATTTAAAGTAGTTTCCAGTCTAGAGTCTTCAGTTAATGAGACTTCAAAGCTGTGTTCATTATTTCAAAAGGCCTAATTGGAACTATGTTTTTTTACCCAGGTGAAGGCTGTATAGTTACATTAAAGCATTGCATTCTGTTGCTTTGGTTTGAATTGATAATAACTCAGTGCAGTAGCTCTTGTTTCTGTAGTGTTGATATGAAACTGATTATGAGGTACATGTCTGATTAAAAAATGGTAAATAAAATAAATGAAATATATTTGATGGCTGTTGTTGTTGTTGTTACGTGCCGTCGAGTCAAACCCGACTCATAGCGACCCCTCCTTGGGTTTCCGAGGCAGTATCACTACGGAAGTAGGATTGTCCGTTCTTCCTTCCGAGGAGTGGCTGGTGGGTTTGAACCGCCAGCCGTCTGGTTAGCAGGCAAGTGTCTTAGCCACTATGGCTAGTCTTTAGAAATGGAAGGATGTGTGTGGGAAGAATAACAAAATTGGTCCTTGTTTTAGAAAAAGTTTGTAAACCATTTGTATAGTAATTACACTTAGAGCTTTTATTCTCTGTGAACAGATAACGAAATGTAATCTTGAAGGCAAAATTAGAAAAGTCAGAAGAGATTGTAAATGTGTAATGCTTTATTGCTTAAGGAGATTTCCTAAAAACAAACGTATCAAGTATATGAATCAAAGTGAGAGAAAAATGCAAAGCCACGAGACTTCTAGAATGTGGATCTGGTTCTAACATACTCTCTTTTGGCTTCCTTTGTTCACTGTTTAGTTTTTTGCTCCACTGAAGCCTGTTAGAATCACCATGGAATACAGTTCTAGTGGGAAGGCCACTGGAGAAGCTGATGTGCACTTCGATACCCATGAGGATGCTGTCGCAGCTATGCTCAAGGATCGGTCCCATGTTCGTAAGTGCAGCTCACAGTGTTTGTTACCATTTTTAATTCCTGTCTTTGCTTATATGTACTTTATCTGTTTTGAGGTTTTAAAATATTTTATTTGTAAATTATTCTACACATTTCTATCCAGAGTTAGGTTTATTTAATTCTTTTTAATTAGGGAAGGAAGTGGCAAAAGGTTTGAGTTGCTGTCTGAACTATGAGAAAAACAATTCCATTATTTTTTCTGATTTTTCACTACTTTTTTAAACTAATTTTGTTTGTTTGCTTGTCATCCTCAGACCATAGGTATATTGAACTGTTCCTGAATTCGTGTCCAAAAGGAAAATAAGATTTCCAGGGACTCCAAATAAGGTAATTTCAAGAGGTATAAATGTATATATTGTTTCCAAATGATAAATTAATAATCCTTAACTCAGTAATTGGTAATACAGAAACCATTCTCTTTTTTATAAAGAACAAAGTAATCATAGTTGAAGGATCAATATAAGATATGAAAACTCATCTGGGAAATAGAATTCAGTATGATTGTAAAGCCCTGAACAACAACAGTGATCATCTAGTGGCTTGGAGCATTATCCCCATATAGAATTTTTATGCATCATTCCCAATACTCATCATGCTATATGTACCTCATAATTTGTTCACCTTTATTAGCTATAAATGATAATACACTGAAAACCTTCTTCATATTAGATTTTTTTTCCCACTATACTTCTGTAGTGATACTGCCTCAGAAACCCACGGAGGGGTCGCTATGAGTCGGGGCCGACTCGACGGCAAATAACAACAAACATAGTTTAAATGCATTTTTCCTATTTTAAAAATGTTTAAAAGATGCATTTGAAAGCAGGGTATTTCTTTTCCTAAAATGGCATTTAAAAAAATGGTGGTTTGTCCTCACTGCCGTCGAGTTGGTCCCGACTCACAGTGACCCCCCGCCCTTGGGTTTCTGAGATAATATCTCTACTGAAGTAAATTGCCCAGTCTTCCTTTCAAGGTGGTTTATCCTAGAAAGTATATTTTCATAGTGTTAACTATGAAAATTTTGTTAAATATATCTTGATGTCTTTTCCTTTGACTAAATGTTAAACAGCCTCTTTTTCCTTCATAAAATCTTTTATTGTAAATCATTTGCTACATGTACTGGTACATTCCTTTGAGACTCTTTAACTAGTGATGTCTTCATTGAAAACATGATGGCATCTAATTACTATCATAGCTCATAGGGTAGTTTTAGATACAAGAAGCTTATAAAGTCTCACAATCCTATAATGTTAGATAAATACTTGCATCAGCTAAAATCTACTTAAAATATATTCTTTGCTCAACTCTGAAAATCTATCATCATTTCAAGATACACTAATAATGTGTAACTAATTTTCCTTAATTGATTTGTCAGATAACATGCACTAAATCAGAAAGAAAAGAATACTGAATTTGTAAGTTCACATTGTATGGGAATATGTGTAGTCTTTTTTTCATTTTGAGCAAATGAACATTTTGTTTGTTTGTTTGTTTCCAGGATGAAGCAAGAAGCATCTCATTTGTACATCTTTCTTGGACATGGGATACAAAGTTCCAGTTGATTAGCAGCAACTGCTAGAGAAAGGATATTGGGGTTTTTGGGTAGTTGCTTCTAAGAAAAATTTCATAATGGACTGTTAAGAAAGGGAAAAGCAGATTCAGTTTGGGATTATGAAATAAACCACAAATTTAAATTTTTGTTTAAATTGTCTAGGATCTGATTAAAAAATCTTATCTTTATTTTATGTTATCAATTTGTTTTCATGTAGGATATTACCCAGTGTAAAAACTACACATGTTTATTCAGCACTGCCTTGTAAAACCATTCTCCCATTTAAAAAATAATCTGTTCAAAGTTTTATTCTTTGCCTATGAATTTAGAACTCTGATGTAAAACTCTTGGTTTGAAGATTCTCATGGAATAAAATACTGATTTATTTTAACCAGATATTCACCAAAACAAGGAACAGTTTCAGACTTTTGGACTAGTGTGGTTTAGTGATAGGTGGTGATTTCAGTTTTAAGTGTCTATGATTACTTAGATAAAGATGATAGAGTTAAAGAAAATGAATCAAAAGAAAAATGCCAGAGGTTAGTAAGTGTAAATGGTAACAATTTGGCATTTATGCCTATAGGAATGTTTTTGCCTTCCTAAAGGCAATAACATTATTGGTGCCTGTCTACTTGAGAAGGAAATTATATCTCAAAAATTGTCTGAAGCCCATTTCCCCCCCTTTTTTTAATGAATTTTGGGTAAACTTTAAGGATGTTATTAGTCTTAAAACTGTGAAATGACATGTCAGAACAGTCCAGACTGGTAAGAACATTAATGGTTTCATTTGAATTTAAACCAGTTCTAAATAGAAAAAAATCTAATTCTCCTCATTTGCTTTTTTTCAGTGGGGTAGCACATCCCATACTAGAACACATAGGGGTGCCTTGCTTGAATAAAAGCAGCATTTAATGTATCATTTTGTGAAGGGTTTATAGATAAAGCTGTATTTCTGTCACATTGTGGCAGTACCTTCTGCTTTAATATTAAACAGCTTGTTATTTAAATATTGGATCAAAGTGGCTGGCTTCAAAATGTAGTCATTAATTAACTATGTGCACCTCTCTAGGAGAATTAAAATCCTGTGTATTCTCTTTGCCTTGTTCTTGCTCTCAGGATGACAACTGCCATGTAGTTTCCAGGAGATGTAATTCTAGTTCTTAAAAATGAATTAGCCCAGATTTCTGAGAGATGCTATCTGGAAGAGAGATTGTCTTCTCTCATTTAATACATAACCATCTGATTACCAGCTAGGCTATGAAATTATTGTACTGTAAGTAGTCAAATGAAGGCTTGTTATAGGCTGAAGAAATTACTTAAGAGTATTTATTATTGGAGTGTGTGAGACAACTTGAATATATTTTTATTATAGCAAGTCCCTGGTGTATTAACATAAATGGCAACATAAATGTGTGGTTTGTTTTTTAATCACCTGTAAGACCATGATTTAATCAACCAGCTTAATACCTTCTTTAGATGGTAATGTATTCATATATGGTTGAGTGTACCAAGTTTTGAGAACTTGTGTCTGTAGTGGTGTGATCTATTAAAATATGATTTATTTCTCTTCCTTAAGTAGTAGGTATCTAATTTGCTGTGGAAAAAATCTTCAGGGTCCAATGGGAGTGGGGTTGGTAGGAATTAATTCATTTGTAATTATTTTAAATTCATTTTCTCTGGGAAAGAATGAGAACAAAAGTATTAAAATGCTATGTAATGGGTAAGCTTGAAAGGATGCAACTTCATGCCATGCTGTTGTCTGAGTTCTTAGTACAAAAGGCGGCTGGTTCCTGTGAAGTTGTATGATGAATTCATACACTTTAGTGTCTTCAGTTACTGTGTGTATTGTATGCTAGTGAATGAATGATTATGTATTATGAATTCATACACTTTAGTGTCTTCAGTTACTGTGTATTGTATGCTAGTGAATGAATGATGGCTGACAAGGTGCAAATTACTGGAGGAGGAGAGAGGTAGAAAAGCACATAATGAAATAGAGTAATCTTTTATTTCTATTAAATCAGAAGACATATTTCTCTAATTGAAAAAACTAGGTTATGCATCACTATTTGCTCCTGAAAGAAGTAATGACTGAATTTCCCTTTTCTATTTGGGTCCTTTATGTCTTTATAATCATTGTAAAGCTGTCAAAAATAATGGGGAGACTATGATATATATCCAGGGTACCCATATTCTGCTTTGCCTAACTATTTCTCAAGGAACTGCAAGGGAGAATGTGGATACGTACGTAGATACCAAAAAAGAGATTGCTAAAGGTTGTAAGCTGATCTAAAATACATTGATACAAGAAAATGAAGCAGAAATAAGAAGCCAGAATGTTTGTCCCTCTATGCCTGAGTGACCAGAGCTTCAGCTGGATGGGAAAGGAGGGTAAGTCTGCTCTAGGGTGGAAGGCTGAAAGTCCTTTGCACTACTGTAGTGTGGGGAGGAGGGAGAAGGAGAAAGCCACTTCCATGTTGGTGATATTTTTATGCAGTGACTGCTTATTTGTAAACATGTCCTATTTATGTCCTCTGCCCTAAAGAATCTTGGCAGATTCTCATTTGGAGATTTTTCTCTGGGTTACAACCTACTCTTAGTGATGAAACACATTCCATTGTTTTGAGAGTTTATGTGAAGGGATTCACATTCAATAGGTAAGTCTCGCGTTATAGACTACAGACATTTTCAGTAGTAAAGCAGAGGTAGGCCCTAGTTCAGGGGCTTTGAAAAAATCAATTTCTACAATATATTTCCTTCCCTGATTTTAGCAGAGTGGGAAATAATTGCAGACATCTATAGGAAGTTTGGGAGCTCTGGTAGCGTAATGCCTAAGGCACTTGACAGCTAACCAGAAGGCTGGCGGTTCAAACCCATCAGCCACTCCTCGGAAAGAAGATGGGGCAATCTGCTTCCGTAGTGATACCACCTTGGAAACCCAAGGAGGGGTTGCTATGAGTTGGGTCCGACTCAGTGACACTTAACAACAAACAACATAGGAATGTTAGTCTGATTCTTAAGACCTGATGATACAAAAATAACAGTAGGGTAATTTAAAAATTGCTTATATTTTTTTAAGGAAATACAGAGAATCAAAGGGGTATACTTGATAAGTCTCCCTTCTGTCCTTTTCTTCAGCCACTCAGTTTCCCTTCTCAGGCAACCTTGTCAGTTTCTGATGTAAACTTCAAGATGCATAGTGTGTATATATAAGAAAATGTTAAGATATATTTTCAATTTTAATATAAATTACAGCATACTATACATGTTGCTCTCTACTTTGTTTCTTTTTTACTTAATATGTCCCAAATATCATTCCATATCAGTATATAAAATTCTTCATCATGCTTTTTTAATTGTATAGTGCCGATGGATGTAATTTAGCCTGTCCCTTACAGATGAATATGTAAATTATTTCCAGTCTTATGCTGTTTCAATACTCACATGAAGTACCTTGTATAAACATAGACATGTATTATTTTCTACATATATAAATCTCTCTGAAGGATAAATTCCCTGGTCAGAGTATGTTCATTTGTAATTTATATCTAAAATTTATATCTTACTATATAGCCTTCTGTAAGGAGCTCTGGTGACATAGTGCCTAAGGCATTTGACTGCTAACCAGAAGTTTGGCAGTTCAAACCCACCAGCCACTCCATGGAAGGAAGACTGGGCAATCTACTTCTGTAAAGATTTACTGCCTCAGAAAACCAAAGGGGTTTGCTAGGAGTTGGAATCGACTCGACACTGAGTGTGGTTTTGTTATACAGCCTTCCATAGTTTGCCTCTTGAAAATCCATTTACCCATAGCCTTGCCGTTAATAAGTGTGTTTATCAATCTATTTGCCAGTGTGATAGGTTTTTATTTCTCCCCCTTTTTTCCCCAAAGGTACTTTATTATGAGGTAGCACTGTTCATGTTTGAGAGCTTTAGATTTCCTTTTTTGTGACATGTCTTTATAGCCTTTAGTTTCTTTTCCTTTAAATAAAAAATGCAGAATTACAGAATTCAAAAATAGAAAAATATAATTTCTCATATAGGAGCTCTGGTGGAGTAGTGCCTAAGGTATTTGACTGTTAACCAAAAGGCTGGTGGTTCAAACCCACCAGCCACTCCTCAGAAGGAAGGTTGGGCAATCTACTCCTGTAGTGATACTGCCTTGGAAACTCCAGGAGGGGTTGCTATGAGTAGGATGCAACTCCATGGCAGTGGTTGCATTTTTTTCTTTTTTTGGTTGAGCTTCCTGTATAACCAATAGTTATCAGGTAACAGTCTTGTTTGACCTATTTCTCCATCCACTTAATCCCCCTCCTATTAATTTTAAAGTATATCTAGAGATAGTGCTGTTTTACCTGTAAAATATTTCAGTATGCATTTCTTAAAAAACAAGACTCTAAAAATACTATCACTCCAAAAATTCCAAAAGTTTCTTATCAAATATCTATCTGACATGTCATTTTTAAGTTTATTTGAATCAGTATCCAAGTAACAGTCCACACATTTCAAAAGGTTACTGCTGCTTTTTTCATGCAACATTTTAATATAAAAGTTTCAAGCATACAGAGAAAATGAATTATAAACACCCCTATGTCCAGTACTTAGAGTCTACAGTAAACATTTTGCTATATTTTTTATATCACGTGTCTATCCATCTATCAATCCAGGTTTTTCTTTATGCATTTCTAAGTTGTAGACAGCTATATTTGACTTATAACCTTTTCAGCATATCAATAACCAGAGGTGGGGTTTTGTTTTTTCCTTTGAGGTAAAATTTACAGTGAGGTGAAGAAATATTAAATGTACCTGTGAAGAATTTTGATGTGCAACTGTGTAACCCAGACCCCTAACAATCTACAGAACAGTTTTCTATCACATCAGAAAATGTCATCATCTAGTCACTTCTTGCACTTCCCTTGTCAACCAGCCTCTGCTCTTTGAAGCTTCACCGGCAACCAATGTTAGGGTTTAGTTCACCATAGATTAGTTTTGTGTATCTTAGAATTTCATATAAATGGAACCACATAGTATGTACTTTCATGTAAGGTTTCTTTCATTCAGCATGTTTTGAGATTACTTGTGTTTCAGCTGTTTGTTCCGTTTAATTACCAAATAGTATTCCATTGTGTGCCAGGGTTTTAACCTTTCACCTGTTAATGGACTATTGGGCTGTTTCTAGTACTTGGCTATTACGAATAAAGCTGATACAAACATCTTGTGCGAACCTTTTTGTGGTCATCTTCATTCCTTTTGGGCAAGTATTTAGGAGTAAAATACCCTGAGTTATAGGGTTGGTATCTTTCAAGGCTTTGAACCAGTTCAAACCAGTTCAGTCATGGCTGACAGAACAAAATTGGAACAGACCCCAATTTTAAAAATTTGGGTGAAGAAGAATAATCAAAATGGGTCAGAGTCTTGGAATAGGAAATTCAGAAGAGGCTTAGT